TGTCACAAATCCAGCCCTAAACCGCGCACATCTGTCACCTTGCGGTTCTTCGGTCAGAAGTCCGGGGCCGAGTGAAGATCAGCGCGTGGGCCGGCTGCGTGCTTCTGGGTGGTTCTGGGGGCTTCTAAGGTCTGTGTCTTTGCTCATTTGGGCGATTAGCGGCTGCAGCCCGTAGGACTGCAGTCCCCACTGTCTTGGCCGGTGTGACCCGAGGGCCATTCTCAGCTGCCCATCTTGGCCTCGTGGCCGCCTCCTTTCGCCTCAGGTCAAGGCTTCCTCAGGCCGTGTCTCTCCCCCTCAGCCGGGAACTGTCGGCAGCTTTTAGAACCATGTGACTGGACTGGGCCACAGGGACAATCCAGATGACCTCCCATCGCGGGTCCTTAACCCCAGTCACATCTGCAGAACCTCCCAGGTTCTGGGCTTGGCACAGGGACAATCTTGGGGACCATCAATACTCACCTCACTGGGTGCTTACCAGTCACCCACGGACCCACGGACCCTCGTCCCTAAATTGACATGGTATGCCCTTCTGGGACGGGAGATTGTGTTTTTAAGAAATCTTACATTTGAAATAGCAAACCCTATAAAAAATATTTCCGTGGATAAAATTACAGGGAGCCGTAAGTTTCAGATTTACAACAATATTGATTTTCTAGAAAATCTCACTGACAAAACCACTTCATAATTGTACATATATTTTATATTGATAAACTATATCGAGACAGACAAAAATCATACTTAAGCTTTATGGAGAAAACTCTGAAAAAGTAAGCCCGTTTCAATAGCAGGACGTTCCAGGACCTTCTAACTAAATTGCCCGTCGCTTTACGACTGCAGAAGCAAATGCACAAGCCGCTTCCTGAGCGACTGGCCCCTGAGTCGGCCGCGGGCCCTGTGGGCTGCGCACCCAGTGGCCATGGCTGTGGCCGTGACCGTGGCCATGGCCGGGAGGCCGGGTCTCAGCCACGCACTCAGCCACACCGCCTGCCTCCAACGCACCAAAGCGTGAGCTTTGCGTTTCCGAAACTGGCCCCCCAGGAGGAAGCACGTCAGTAACTGGTGTTTTTAGGTGCTCTCCTGAGCGAGTTTCCTTTTTTCCTAAAGAGCCAGTTTAGGGTAAAACCCTCTGATTCGGGCAGAGCTGTCCCCTCTCTGCCCGCGTGGGCACGCCGGGGCCTCGGCCTGCAGCGGGCACCGCCTCGGCACACTGCCAGGTCCTCCGGCCTCCTTCGTTTCTGAACTACGGTCAGACTCCCCACCCCTCCTCAGCATTATAAACCAGCAGCTCTCAAGGGGACGCAAACGTCTGTCCTTGCTACCGCTACCGTTGATGATGGCGAGTCCGCTTCATCAACCATTTGCGTTTCCACCTAAATTACGCTTGAAAACACTAGTTCTGAGAGGTTGTCCACGGTCACCACCGTTGCCATCAGGCTGCCCCACCCCCAGTGTGAGAGTCAGGCCTTATTTAAGTCCCCAGACTCTCATTCCAAAGGACAAAGAGTAAATGCTTTTGCGGGGGGCTCCCGTCGGGGCACTGTCTGGAAGGCTGCACTGGTGTCCCCGGGGCCGGTGAGAGGCGAGCCTGGCCGTCCCTGCCGGGCCCCGAGCTCAGGCCGAGGCCAGTCTGCTCACCCAGGTGTGCTTTCCCTGCAGGTGAGTGAGAAGATGTAGCAGAGCAGCAGTGAGAAGACCCCGCCCCTGCCTGGTGTGGACAGCCCAGCCCAGACAGGCTCCCCTCAGCCACCCTCACCATGTCCAAGAAGGGTACGGGCGGCAGAGGCAAGGGGGACAAGGCGGACGTCCTCGCCGGGCTGCAGGCCGCCAACGAGGAGCTGCGGGCCAAGCTCACCGACATCCAGATCGAGCTGCAGCAGGAGAAAAGCAAGGTGGGCTCCCCACGCACCCCGCCCGCTTCTCCTGGCCCCCAGGGCCTGCCCAGTCTTCGTGGGGTTGCCTGCCCAGGCGTCTTGGGGTCCCTAGGGCCTCTCAAGGCAGCTGGGGAGGGTGCAAAGCTCTAGGGAGGGGCAGCGGACCCCGCCCTGACACCCAGCATGTGGGGGTCCTTGCCGCCTGCAGGGAAGGCTGGGCTCGTGCTGGCAATTAAGCGGGCCTCTGGGGAGGAGGGTGAGGGCCAGTGGGAGGACGCGCGCCCTCAGTGCCAGGCCAGGCTCCGGGGGGGCCGTCTCACTGGCCCACGCCTCCCCACTGTCTGCCATGGCCTCTGCCCCCCACCCCTCCCAGGAGCTGCTAGGAAGTGTGAATGCGCCCTCAGAAGGGGCTGCAAAGAGGATGAGACTTGGGGAGAGGGTGAACCCCGGGGCAGGATTTCCTCCCAGAGGGTTGAAAGGCCCGAGGACCGGGGCTGTGGCCGTGACTGCTCACCGCTTGCCCAGCACACGTCTCTCCCAGAGGCCTGCTGGTGGAGGGGAGTCGGTCACTCGGGGCCAGCTGCCTCCTCCGAGTTACTCTGCCTCCTGGTTAAATCAGAAGGAGAGCCACACTCTGTGACCCGCAGTGCTCACATGGGACTCGGACTCCAGGCCCCAGGGTGCTGGCTCGCACAGTGTCTGCAGCGGGGCTGCTGCAGGGGCTCTCTGCGTCACCAAGCCCTGACCCTCCCACCTCGGGCCCCCTGCTCTGTAAAGGGGACAATCAGAGGACCTGCTGCTGTTGGTGCTGGGCAGGACACGCGCAGAGAGCCCCAGAGACAGGACGGATACAAAGGCGGCCACCACAGCCCACCGTGTGGCTTCTCAGGGCGCGGGCACCAGCATGTCAGCACCTGATCTGCACCGAGAGGTCACAGAGTCAGCAAGGACCTCACCGAGAGGCCCAGACACACTGCCCGGCTGGCGCACGAGGTGAAGGCACAAACATCAAGCAGCCTGGGATGGACAGTTGTCCCCAGATGCAGAGCCGACCTCACAGTGTGCCCCAGAGGCCTGCGGGCACTCAGAGCCTCTTGTCCTGAGCAGCCTGGGGCCCCTGAGGCCAAGCCTCTGCCATCACCCGGCACCCCCGCCCCCGTTTGCAGATGCGAGAGAAGAAGAGGGTATTGTTAAGAACCAGTGACGACGAAGCCGTTTGTTTGACTGGGTGAGAAGAGCCATTATCTTCTCGATGCGACGACATACCCGGCCGCTCCAGACTCTCCGTGTTCCGACCGCAGCGGCATCATGCACACCCGTCCCGCCACCGCCCAGGGGGCGCATGCTGGCCCCGCGCCTGTCACAGCCCACGTCTTGGCCTGGCGGAGCCCCCAGCCCTCCTGGCACCAGGCAAGGGCCCTGGGGCTGGTGTCTGAGGTCCCGGGTCTTGTTATTTATATGACACATATTTCTTTATCTTTGGAAAAGATGATATAACCTGTTGCTACAGAATTCAAACAGAGCATGAGAACGGCCCGTGTCAGTGAGCCCATGCCCGGGTCCCCTCTCAGAGGGGGCGTGTGACAGTCGCTACAGGGCAATGCGTGTGTCCCTCTCACTAAGGCATAGATGTGCCACACGTCCGGTCTCCGCACCCCCAAAGCACCCTCCTGCACGGGGCGCGGGAGCTCACGCAGCGACCTTCATCCGCCCGGGGCCCCAGTGCGCCCGGCTTGTCAGCGGCCCCGGGCTGTTTTCGATCTGGGCTGAAACAGTAGCCAAGCAATGTCTGCCTGCCTTGGACCACACGTGCCCGGACGCCTGTAGGAGAAAGTCTTGCACCTGCATTTGCTGGGTTAGACAGAGGGTGTGCATTTACAGTGTGCCAGAGGCTGCACCGCGGCCCGTTGGGACCACGAGGGCCCCCCAGCGAGGCGGACCGGAGGGGAGCTCCAGGAATCAGATCGCAGGGCGCCCTCACTGGGCCCAGCCGGCTGGCAGACGCTCTGCTCTGCACCCACATCGACGCTCCTTACAGACGTCCTGCCTCGCAAAGGGCCCTGACGTCCTTCGACCTCTGCGGGCGGTCCTCCACGGCCAAGGGCCCTTGTGCTGTGGTCCCCAGGCTTCGCTGCGCATCAGTTTTCTGTGACCCCCCCAGCCTCACCTTCGACCTGCAGAATGAGACACAGGGGCGTCTCAGTGGCTCCGGGCTGCTCAGGGGCTGGCGGTGCTGGGCGACGCTGAGAGTTGCCTCCCCATAGGCTCAGCAGCCGGGTCACCGCCCTCCCTCCTCTGCCCACCCTTCCGGCCTGGGGCTGAGCTGGTGGGGGTGGGGGGAGCTCCTGCATTAAAGGGACTTGCAGGTGGTGTGGGGCAGTGATTCCTGTCTCCTCAACCTCCGGGTCCGGGGGTGGGACAAGCGGGGTACAGGTAGACCAGAGCCAGGAGGGCCCCTGCCACTGGGAACTGGGGGCATCTCTGAGCCTCCCCCCCAAGGCCCACCTCACAGCTGCCACTGGTGCCTCCAAGCCAGGCCTGCAGCTTCCCAGCCAAGCTCCACTGAAAATATTTTGGGTTTTAAGAAGTGTGAGTGTGAGCGCACACGTGCAGATGTTCCTCCTCCACTCCCACGCCCTGCTCCACACCCACCCGTGACACGCACGACGCTGTTTTCCTTTCTCTGCTGATCGCCACCCAAGAAGCTTTCGTGAAGGTGAACGTAGGTTGTCTGTTAGAGGGACGAGCTTGCTGCAGACCCGGATGTGGGCAGCAGTGCTGGCCCCGCCACGTCCAGCCACGACCTGCTGCTGCGTCCCCACAGTGGGCAGTCGTGGTCCCCTCAGACACGTTCGGAAATGGCATTGGCGGACCCTCCACATCATTGAGAAACGCCATCAGAAGCCTTGCTCTTTTAATGTCTTGAACTCAGTGTAATCTGGAAAAAGGAGGTGCATCTCGCACGGGAGGCGGTAACACCCGCCGGCCCCAGGCCTCAGCGGCGGTCCAGTTCTCCGGCCAGAACTGCGAACAGCTGGACCGTGTACATTTGGAGGGCCGTCAGGGCCTGGAAGGCTCTACGAGAGAAGCGTGGCTGCTAGAATGTCTCCAGGCATTGCGGGGTGCAGGCTGCCCTACGGGAAGTCTCGAGTGAACCCCGTGGACAATATGACTGCCGGTGGGGGTGCACCAGCCAAGTGAGCTGGTGTCACAGTCACCGTGTGTCTTAATGGGAAGAACAGTGGATGAAGCTGGCACGGCCCCGCCCCCACCCTCCGCCCCACCCCACCTGGGACACTGGCTCTGGCTGTGGGGGGTGCTGCACAGTCATGGAAGAGAAATAAGGCACCTTCGGGAGTGATAACGGCTGTGGAGTAAGTGACACAAAGTAATGGGGCCGGTGGGGTGACAGGGCTGGGACAGGAGCTCAGAGGAGTCGGCAGAGGCCCCCGGCCGGGACTGCAGGAGGGCACCTGGGCAGGGGAGGGACAGGAGACGCCGGCACAGCCAGGCGGGGGTCCAGGGGTCGGAGCTGGAGCCATGGGGAAAGAGCACAGGTGCCAAGCAGAGCAAGTGAGGGCGGACCCCGCCCCCTGGTATCCCCCTGGTGGCTCGAGGTCATGTGACCGCTGCCTCTTCCTGGCTCTCCTGTGCGGCGTGGGTGGCGGGGCGGGAGGCGGTGCTGGCTTAGAGCAGGGGAGCAGGAGATAGGCAGACTTGGGGTGCACCCTGGAGGTGGGGCGGGAGGGATTGGCTGGTTTGGGGGGGACATGAGGGAAGGACAGGGCAGAGGACAATGCCCCCCTCAAAGAGGTGCGGGGGACTGAGGATGGAGGCCTGCTGGGGGCAGAGAAGTGTCCGTGTGGACACATTAAATGTCAGGTGTCTGCCAGGTGACTGCCTTTCTCAGGGTCCTGGCAGGAAGCAGCTGGTGCCTGGAGAGAGGCGGCGAGGGCTTTGGCTCATGTGCCCACAGTGGTTTCCCCAGGTCATCTGCCCCCACGCACGCCCAGGAGGGTGGGGAGCCCAGCCCCCCATCCCGCACCTACGTTCCCAGAACCGTTTGTGCCAGATGGTGGGCGGTGAGGCATTTAGCCAAGGTCGCAGCTTCTATATGAAAATAACACATTCAGTAAAAAGTCTGAGTGTTTCAAAAAGTCTAAGCCTAAAACGTCACCCAGAGAGACGGCACAGCTGCCTCGCTTGTTGTCCCCGTTTGCCAAGAATGTCGCGTAAGGCAAGCGCGATACCCCGTTATCTGGGCAGAGGGCAGGAGCCCCGCTGCTCCCCACGGGCTGTCCCCAGGAGGCGTCCCACCCGCTGTCCTCCGCAGGTTCGTTTGAGAGGGGACAGTTTTGCCTCCTGTGCTCGGCCTGCCCCTCGCAGAGCAGCAGAGCGGGGTTCGTGGCCCCCGGGGGTCTAGATCACTTCCCAGGCTCGAGGTCACCACAGCT